CAAGATGGGAGGATCCTAGATACAGGATGGCACCCTAACTTTGGATGTCACAAAGCCTGTTTGACTTGTTCCTGGCTCAACTGCTAGAGACCATTATCAGTAGCATGTGAACTCCTCCAACAGGAGCCTGTCCATTGACCCAGCAGCAGGGACCAGGCCCACTCCTGTGGTGGGTAGCGAGACAGCAATGTGACCTCCTCCCACATTTTAATTTATATTATGAGGCCAGAATGGCTGTGACACCAGAATCATGAAAAGATCTTACCAGAAAGAAACACTACAGACGATATCTCCCATGAACCTAAACACAAATATTCTTTAACAAAAAGGGCGGTGGAGGCGGGGAGGTCATAGAATCAATCAATTCATAAAGAGAATGGTGAATTGTATCTTTTGTTATTATTGTGACAAGCTGCTGAGTTTGTTCTAATCTATAACAACCCTATGTACACTAGAGGAAAACAGTGCCCGGCCCTGTCATCCTCACAATTGTTACATTTGAGCCCATGTAACAGTCATATCATCAATCCATCTCAACTCATAACCACTATGCCACCAAGGCTCCTCACGTTAGAGATTAAGTCTGATGTCCTTTTCCAGGGACTAGTCTCTCCCGATGACATGTCCAAAATACAGGAGATGAAATCTTACCTTTCTCACTGCTAAGCTGCATTCTGGCTGCACTTCTTCCAAGACAATGTGTTTGTTTGGCAGTTCATGGTACTTTCAATATTCTTTGCTAACACCATCATTCAAATGTATCTCTTTTTCGTTTATCTTCCTTATTCATGGTCCAACATTCACATGCATATGAGGTCATCGAAAATATGATGACTTGGGTCAAGCACACCTTAGTCCTCAAAGTAGTATCCTCGTCCGTCAACATTTTAGAGTTCTTGGGTAGTGGATTTCCCCAGTACAGAATGTTGTTTGAGTTCTTTTTTTTAAAAAATCGTTTTATTAGGGGCTCATGCAACTCTTACCACAATCCACACATACAGCAATTGTGTAAAGCTCATTTGTACATTCATTGCCCTCATCATTCTCAAAACATTTGCTCTCCATCAAAGCCCCTGGCATCAGCTCCTCATTTTTTCCCCTCCCTCCCCGCTCTCCCCTCCCTCATGAACCCTTGATAATTTATAAATTATTATTTTGTCATATCTTGCCCTGTCCGATGTCTCCCTTCACCCACTTTTCTGTTGTCCATACCCCAGGGAGGAGATCACATATAGTTCCTTGTAATCCGTTCCCTCTTTCCAACCCACTCTCCCTCTACCCTCCCAGTATCGCCACTTACACCACTGGTCCTGAAGGGATCATCCGCCCTGGGTTCCCTGTATTTCCAGTTCCTATCTGTACTAGTGTACATGCTCTGGTCTAGCCAGACTTGCAAGGTCAAATTTGGATCATGATATTGGGGGGGGAAGGGGGAGGAGGAAGCATTTAGGAACTAGAGGAAAGTTGTATTTTTCATCGTTGCTACATCGCAGCCTGACTGGCTCGTCTCCTCCCCGAGACCCCTCTGCAAGGGGATCTCCAGTGGCCTACAAATTGGCTTTGGGTCTCCACTCTGCTCTCCCCCCATCATTCACTATGGTAAGAATTTTGTTCTGATGATGCCTTTGTTTGAGTTCTTGACTGCTACGTGCAGGAGCGTTGATTGTGAATCCAAGTAAGATAAAATCCTTGACAGCTTCAATTTTTCTTCCCATTTATCACGAGGAACCGTGGTAGCATAGTGGATGACTCGCTGGTCTGCTGATCAGTTCAAATCCACCAGCTGCTCTGTGGGAGCAAGACGAGGCTTTTCATTCCCCTAAAGAGTTACAGTCTGGACACTCACTGGGCACTTCTACCTGGCCCTACAGGGCTGCTTTGACTCAGGATGGACTTAAGGGCAGTGAGCTTGAGAGTATCATATCTAGGGAGGTTTATATCTGTCATACAAGACAGGTTCAGGTTCTTTTGATTTGTTTGTTTGTTTTTAATCAATGTAATTTAGGGCATGATGAGACCTTCAGTCAACATCAAAATGTATTGAGTGTTCACTTCTGCCCAGTGTAGATTAACAGGCACCAGCTTTGCCCCTGGCTTGAAACCATCTAAAAACAAACAAGCAAGCAAACAACAACAACGAAAACTCAGGCAATGTATGGAATGGTTGTGTTAAAGCCACTGGGTATGAATCAACAAAGGACAACGATCCATGAGAGGCGAGCTTGAGGGCATGGCACAGAAGGAACAAGGCGGGCTCCCTGAGTTGAGGGATGGAGCTAAGAACGCGTTTAAAGGCCAGACTACCGAGAGAGACAGCCCGATGGAGAGAGCATCCTGGGAATCTGTAGAAAAGTCTCCCTTGAGTATTCAGATGAGGACTGATCAGAGTATGGATGCAAAGTAACTACCCGAGATGGAGGAGCAGAGGGGGGATTTGGGAAAGGATTATCAAAGAGTGCCTTTATTCATGGAGAGCCAGCGTAGTGCATGTTCGATGATAGAATGAGAAGCTTAATATTTTAATACTCATACATCTCTCTGCTCAGTAGGAGGGAAGATCCTCCTTAGCCGGAACACTACCATGGCTCCCTGAGCAAATGAGGAAAGGAAGACCGGAAAGGGGGAATCTCTTTCGGCATGAATGAACTGTATTCTGGAACAAAGCTCAAGCATATTAAGGGCTATTAAAAATATCCAGCAGCTAACAAGGTTCGCAGTGTTTGGCTAAACCCAAAGGATATCAGGAATGTGGGAAAAGGTAGGACATGACAGCCCACGGTGAGCAGATAAGTGAGAAAGGCAAAACTAATTCAGGCTTGACACCAATATTAAAATTAGCAAGCAAGGACATTCAATGGCTATTATGATGGTATTTTACATATTCAAAATAAGAAGTAGAGACATGGAAAATATTTTTAAGACCCAAATTGAACGTGCAGAGGTGCCAGCTGTGCAGAACAGAGAGCTACTAGCAGATTCAATTTTGCAGAAGAGAAGGTTATTGAACAAAGTAACAGAAATCACAGAGTATAAAAGACACAGGAAAACTCACCATACATAGTCCAGAAATTCACAGTGGGGGGATTGGGAAAATAAACTATTTGAAGAAACAATGGCTGGACACATTTCCAAATGTTATGTAAACTGTAAATACCCAGAGCCAAGACTGTCACTAAAACGCAAACCATCAGAAGCATAAAGAGAACTACCCCAAGGTCATCACAACCAAATGACTTGAGATCATGCCGAGGAGAAAATATTACAGACCCCAAAGACAGAAGACAGGTTCAGAAGGACACAGGTGACAATGGCAGCGACTTTCTCATCCGAAACCAAGCAGTGAGGACAACAGTTTTTGAAATATTGTAAGGAAAAAAATAAAACAAGCCCTGACTCTCTTGGATTCTATGCCCAGAATAACAAACAAAGCTAAGCAAACATTTTCCAGAGACAAAGGCAACATAAAGAGATAGGAGACATACAAAAGCAGTTTCTGTAGCCTTAAAGTATGCAACACAATGGGTTCAGAGAAACCCCTTGTACACGCAAAACTCCAAAACATTGATGACATTAAAGACCCAGAAAAATGGACACATGTATTGAGATGATTCATCAGTGAGAAGACTCGGGATTTGTAAATGGTACTTCTACCTAGCTTGATTTATAGATAGATACAATGCACTGGCATTCAAACTCCTAACCTAAGACTGTGTTGTGTTCATTTCTGCTTTTTTTAAATTTAGAAATTGTAGTTTTTTTATGGATCAAACTTGTCAATTAAAAAATTCATATGAAAATTTAAAGATACAGAGTAGCCAAATAACTTGGAAAAAGAATATAAAATTGAAGAACTAACATTATCTGATGCCAACCCAGGGTGGTATTGGCATTAAAATTGGCAAATGGATAAAGGAACAGCAAAATAGTACCATAAATAGATTCACATATATAAAGGAATATTATTTTTTAAAACTGGTGTAAACGCAATTTTGTGGTGAAAATAGTCGTGTCAGTAAATGGTGCTTAAATTTGGATAGTTGTATGCAAAAACAAACTGAAAAAAAATTGGCCCAATAGTGCACCATAAAGAAAAACAGAAACGAACTCAAAATAAGTCCTAAATCTGAAATCATTACACTTTTGGAAGAAAACATAGAAGAACATTTTTGTGCTTGTGTTAGGCAAAGATTTCTTAGATATGATACGAAAAGCAAGCTCCATAAAATAACAAACTGATAAGCCAGAGTCCATCCAAATTAAAAACTTATGCTCTTTGAAAGATATTAAGATAATTTTAAAAAGCAAGTTGAAACCGGAGGAAATACTTCCAAAACACATCTATGTTAAGAACAATGAAATCAAATGTATAAATCAATTAGAAAAAAATAAATAACCCAATGAAAAATGGGGAAAGTTTTTGAACAGGCAGTTCATCAAAGCAACTTTATGGAGAGTGCATACATATAAAATATACTTACCATTAGTTACTAGAGAAATGCATGTGAAAGCCCCAATGAGATATGCATACCCTATATTGGCATGAATGATATTAAAAAGACAGATGTGAAGTATTCTTTTATTATTTCTAGAATCTGATCACTATACACAAACATGGCATGGAAAGAAACAGGAGTTAGGAGGCAGAGATATTCATGTGAGTTTCTTTTTTTCTAAGAAATGAAGGCTATTATGAGCTATAGCTTTTCCCAGAGCCCTGGTGGTGTTGACGGTTACACATTGGGCTGCTAAGTGCAAGGTCAGCAGTGTGAACTCCCCAGCTGCTTCAATGGCAAATAGATGAGGCTTTCTGCTGGTGGAAAGATTCACAGCACTTTGAACTCCAGAGAGCCAGCTGTCCTCTGTTTTATAGGACCACTAGGGGCTCGGAATTGGCTTGATGGCAGTGAGTTTTTGAGTTTATAATAGAACATGTCCCAAAGTAAAGTAAGTTCACGTGGAAGGCATGTGTCAGCTTGTGCTGTCTCACCCTCTGCTCGCAGGTGCTATTGGCTGTATCTGCTTCCTTCTGTGGATTGGTCTGGTTTTTGATGATCCCATTTCTCACCCATGGATAAGCATCTCAGAGAAGGAATACATCATATCCTCTTTGGCCCAAGAGGTACATCTAAAGGAATACCACTTTCTTAACATTTGGATTTCTCAGGGTGGATAAGCTTTTGGCGGGATGGTCCTGATTTTTGGTGTTTTTAAAAAGTCCCGATTTTTGGAAAGAATGCATGACAAGCTAGGGAACGGTCTATTTGGTCCATATAGACCAAATTTTTCATCAAGAACCGCCACCCCACCTCCGCCGTCAATGGTGTCCCGCTTTAAATCTGGTCACCTTAGAAGGGTATATGAACGGCTCTCGGCTCTTATGTTCTCACCAGTCCATCTGTTTTCAGGTCACCTCTTCCAGGCAGCCTCTACCCATCAAAGCTATGATTAGCTCGCTACCTCTGTGGTCCATGATTTTTTGCTGTTTCGGCCATCAGTGGTTAGTTATTGTCTTGGTCATATACACACCAACTTACATCAGCTCTGTGTTCAATATTAACATCAGGGATGTGAGTATATTTCCTATTAGTTCGCCCTCCTGTTTGCATGATCACCGCGCCTTCACAAATCATTCCACCTGGGGAAATGTATCATCAGAGTAACCTAATATTTTGTATCCACGCGAGTGTGATTGATGGTAGGATTGAATACCTGCTGGGGATGTGGTTGAAGAAGTTACTGGTTTCCCTAGGAAAGCATGACCTCCGGATGATAGTCTGATCGGGAGTGATTTACTACTGAACGTGGTGGACTCACTGCCTTTATTAACATGGTTTGTTCTGTTTGTCTTCTTCAGAATGGGATCCTGTCCGCCCTGCCTTTTCTTTTTGCCTGGGTCTGTAGTATTCTAGCAGGCCTACTAGCAGATTTCCTTCTGACCAAGAATTTCAGAATCGTTACAGTGCGGAAAATGGCCACGCTTGTAGGTAAGAACGGGCTTAATGAATTCGCTCTCAAGGCATACGATATAACCAAATAATGCATTGCACAATTTAATTTATTTGCTGCTCATCCCTTAGGCAATCTCCCCCCGTCAGCATTCATCGTTGCCCTGCCTTACCTCAGTTCCAGCTACATTACAACGATAACTCTTCTGATCCTCGCTTGCGGGCTAAGCACGTTTTCTCAGTCAGGAATTCATATCAATGCCTTAGATATTGCTCCAAGGTAGGACTCGACTTGCTATTCCCATTTAAAAAAAGAAGAAGAAGAATTTGTTATCTGGGAGCCCCAAACTTTAGAGAATAATAAATCATTAGCAAGGACCACAGTTAGGCTTGTGGCCTTTTTTTTTTGGTATGAGTGTGTATAGGGCTGTGGGTCTCAGTAGTCTTAGTGCATCTTATTGAATCGAGGCAGTGCAGCACCTTTTTGGCATATTGTAGGGTGCATCCTTATACGGAGCAGGGTTGAAGGAAATGGTTAAATGTCTCTGCCTCTAGTCTGGAACCTTCCTCTCACCCACAGACATTCCAGTTTTCTCATGGGAGCCTCCCGGGGATTTGCACACATAGCAGCTATCCTGGCACCCACTGTCAGTGGGTTTCTTCTCAATCAGGTAAAGTTTTCATGCCATGAGAGGACGATGAAAATGCCCTTCCAAATCTGTTTATAACAGTAATACTATAAACGATGTAGTCAACGTATTATGAAGTAATGTTGTGATTGACTTTGTCAGAGCGACCCTAACTACAATGGAATAAAACACTGCCCGATGCACCAGCATCCTCACACTCGTGATTCTGTTTGAGCCCATTGTCGCAGTCTGAGTCAACCTCTCGCAGGGAGGCTCTTCCTCTTTTTGGATGACTCTCTAGCAAGTATGATGGGACTGATCTCTCGTGACCAAATGACACGAGGTGAAGCCCCTGCTTCTCAGGAACATCTGCCTGCTCGATGTGATTGAATGATGGATTGTTATGACATCTGTAAGAGCTCCCAACGAAATGATTAAAATTTCTAAATAAAAATAAAGAGCATCTGGCTGTCCTTCCCCCAAGACACATGTGTTCGTTGTTTGGTCAGCCCAGGGCTCTTTCAATACCCTTTGTCAACACCATCATTCAAATGCTTGGCTTCGTCTCTGGTCTTTCTGAGTCGCCGTGCAGTTTTCACATGCATCTGAGCAGCTGAAAATGCATCGCTGTCCTTGCTCTTCAGCACTAGGTGGAGGTCTTCAGGCAGAACGCATTGCAAGGCGGATTGTTGCAGATGCAGTTAGGTTAAAATTTAGTCCTTTATCAATTGATGTCCCTTGTGGTCCATTTTTAATGTGTTCTCATTTTTCATATTTTCTGCTTTCCTTTTGATTGAGGTTTATCTGTTTTTTGTTGCTAGTCATTTTTTGTCATTGTAATTAGTTTTTTAGTTTGTTTTTAAATGTTTTGGGGTTTCAGAAATCCAGGATACGTGAATCTAGAGAGACAGCGTGTGGTTCCTTGGTGGTATGAAGGAGATGTTGGGGGAGATAAAGAGCTAATAACGATGAATACAAGAATGAAGAAAATGCTCTAAAACTGACTATGGTGATGCTTGTACAACTCTTCTGGATGTGACTGAACTATTGAACTGTATGCTATATGAATGATATATATTCAGATATGCCAATGAAACTGTTCAAAAATAAAAGAGAGAACTTGTGCAGCAGATTTGCTGAAAGCAAAACATCATTTGATTTCTTGACTGCTATTTCCACGATGCGCACTGATTGTGGATCCAAGCAAAATAAAATCCTTGTCAACTTCAATATTTTCTCCATTGATCATGATGTGACCTATGGATGTGACCATTGTAGATGTTGATCTTCTGTACATTGAGTTGTAATCCATACTGAAGGCTGGTCTTTGTTCCTCACCAGGAAGTTCTTCAAGTCCTGTTGGGTTGGAGCAAACAAGGTGGTGTCCTCTGTGTGTGGCTGGTTGTCAATGAAACTTTCTCTAAACCTTATGCCACATTCTTCATATAATCCCGCTTCTCAGATTGTCTGCTCAGCACTCAGACTGAATAAACACCGTGAAAGGATACAACCCTGACACCCACCTTCCTTGACTTTTAACCACGCAGTTCTGTGCAGACAACTGTTCTGGTCAGACAACTGCCTCTTGGTTGACGTACAGTTTCCACATGAGCCTAATAAAGCGTTTTGAGCTCCCATACTGAGCAAACTTGTTATGATACATATAATCAAGCATCTTTACATAGTCAACAAAACAGAAGAAACTTCTTTCTCACATTCTCTTCCTTCAGCCAAGTTCCTTTTGACATCAGGAATGACAGCCTTCATTCCATGGCCCCTTCTAAATTCAACTTGAATTTCTGGCAGCTCCTTGATGTTACCTATTGGTCCAGTTGTGGATTGGTCCATTTGGGAATGATCTTCAGCAAGATGTATTTGCATGTGATATTAATGATATTGTTTGGTATTTTCTACATTCCACGGAGCCACCTTTCTTTGGAATGGGCACAAATTTGGATCTCCTCCAGGTAGCTGGCCAGATTTCTTGGCATAGACTTCCAGATTTCTTGGCATAGACTTGTGAGTGCTTCCACTCCTGAATCCCTTTGTTCAAACATGTCAGCTGACGTTTTGTCAATTCCTGGAGGTTTGTTTTCCTGAGTGCCTTCAGTGTGGCTTGGAATTCTTCCTTCAATACCATCAGTTTGTAAACATGTCATCTCTTGAAATGGCTGGCTCTCAACCAGTTCTTTTTGGTAAAGTAATTGTGTGGAGTACTTCCATCTTCTTTTGATGCTTCCTGCATCTTTTAATAATTTTCCCTTAGCATCCTTCAATATTGCACCTCGAGTGTGAATTTCTTTCTCCAGTTCATTCAGCTTAAGATCTGCTGAGCATATTCCTTTTTTTAAAAAAATTAAATCATTTTATTGGGGGCTTGTACAATTCTTATCACAATCCATCCATCCATCCATTGTGTCAAGCATATTTGTACATTTGTTGCCATCATCATTCTCAAAACATTTGCTTTCTACTTGAGTCCTTGATATCAGCTACTCCCTCCCTCATGACCCCTTGATGATTTATAAATTGTTATTGTTTTGTCATATTTCATTTTTTTGATTTATCGACTCCTGGTCTTTACACATTTCATTATAATGTTTTGCTTTGTTTTCTTGAGCTGCTGAGTGAAGATTACTATTCAGCTCTTTTACTTCATCTGCTACTTGTTTTATTTCTTCTACTTGCTTTAACTATTCTACATTCAAGAGCAACTTTCTGAGTCTCTTCTGATACCCACTGTAGATTTTTTTTTTCTTTCCTGTCTTTTTAATTACCTTTCTTATGTCGGATATTATTGATGTCATTCCACAACTCATTGGGTCTTCAGTCATTAGTGTTCAATAAGTAAAATCTTGTCTTAAAATGTTCTCAAAATTCAGGTGGGATATACTCAAGGTCAGATTTTGGTTCTCATGGATTGGTGCTAATTTTCTTCAGCTTTAACCTGATTGGCACAGAAGCTATTGATGATCTGTCCAGCCAGCCCCTACCCTTCTTTCAGTTGATGATACCGCACTTCTCCATTGTCTCCTCCTATAGATAGAGTCCATTTGAATCCTGTATATACACACCATCTAGTGATGTCCATGTGTTAGTCACTGTTTATTTTGTTTGGGAAAAAAGACATTTGCAATGAAAAAGTTGTTAATCTTTCAAAATTCTGTCAAGCAATCTCCAGCTTCATTTCTATTACCAAACCCATATTGTTGAGCTTCTGATTTTTCCTCTGTTTCTAATGTCCCCATCCTAATAACCAAACATTACTTATGCATTTGATTACATGTTTGATCAATTTCAGACTGAAGAAGTCGGTGAGGTTTTTCAATTTCTGATCCAATGACTTTAATGGTTGGTGCATCAATTTGAGTAAAAGTTGTTTTAGATAGACGTCTTTATATGTGTATGTACATATTAACCTATCCCAGATAGCATTGTACTTCAGAATTGACCTTGAACTAGTTTCTTAAACTACCAAAGCAATAGATATTACTATAATTGTTATTAATTTCTGTTGAGTCAGGTATGACTCGTGGTGATGCCATAAGGTACAGAGTAAAACTCTCCTGTAGGATTTTCTTGCATGTAATATTAACAGAAGTGAATTATCACACCTTTCCTTCCATGGTACTGCTAGGTGACTTTGAACCAGCATCGTTAAGTTAGTAGTGAAGTGCAAAACTGACCATGTCACACAGGGACCTAAAGAAATAGAGAGAGCAATGATCTGTAAAACCTCAGTGTAGACTCACTCAGGAGCAACGACAACAGCAACTAACATGGAGCCTTGGAATAAGTACCTTCGGATAAGTGTCTTGATATGATGATTCCACTGATAGATGCAACCTGCCTTGTCTTCTGCAACGTTTTGAAAAATTTCATTTGCATTACCATTACAAAGAGAACGCATAATGAATGTAAACATTCAGGCATTCTTATCAGTGTTTCATATACCGTAAATTCATTTAATGATTAATTTTCACATCGATTTGAAGATGGATGATTATCCTTATTTCATAACGATTAAACAGAAAATTTGATAGAATACATCTTTCTGCTAAGATTTATAAGTTTTGTAAGATTTATAAAATCAGATTTTTTTAGATCTAACCCTAAAGCGAGAAATTTTTTAACTGCGCCATAACACTGCAAGAAGCTTGAAAGCATTATTAGCATAGCATATGTAGACGAGATTCATGCAAAATAGAAAATGGTATCACTTTGATAGGGACAAATCCAATTCTGTAGTTTAATCACAATCACAACAGTTCCCAACTCTCTCTTATTAAGCATCTTCTGTGTGCATTAAAAAAAAAAAATCCACCCCACCCCGACCCCCCAAACCAATTTCAGGCAATGTAATTCTTCTAACACAGGAACCCAAGGGTGAATATTGTGGTCTGAACTGTTAATCCGATATTTCATAAGACAAAAAGAGAAGTTGAAAGGGTAATATTGACTTCAAGTTTTCTGTCCCTAGGACCCTGAATTTGCCTGGAGGAATGTCTTCTTGTTGTTGTTTGCCATTAACACGCTGTGCTTGATCTTCTATCTCTTATTTGGAAAAGCAGATGTTCAGGACTGGGCTAAAGAAAAGAAACTCACTCGTTTATGAAGGTACGGAATAATGGTGTCCACTATGGTTCTAATTACAGTACATGACTTAGGGTTTTAACCCCATGTCTTACTTCTTTCTTAGTTACTCTACGTTGGATGGAAAACTCATTAGGCACCTTCTTTCATGGATGGGAAGGCTTCCGTATGAAAATACCCAGGGGAAGAATTTTGTTTGCTGTGTTTCTTTTCAAATACAAGATCAGCTCTCTCTTTAATTTGGATTTTCTTTGAGAAAAAAAATTAGCTGAATTAAAATTCAAATAAAATGATACTAAAATCACAGTGGTCAGCTTCATGAAATTATCAATAGATGCCGAGTTGTTGTGTGAGAATTAAGGGGGAAAATTCGGAGTTTCTGGACCTGGAAATAAGAATCCTTACTCGAAGGTGAGAATTTTGACTTTTCCTCACTGTGGAAATAAATACCAGTTTATATTTTTCTGCATTGGATATGGTCCATTTTCTCCTTCCTGCCAGTGCTCCAATCCCCATCGTGTTCCCTCTCCATCATCCCACAATCCCTTATCTACTTGTATTTGTTGGGAAATAACGTAACATTTTCTAGTTTAACAATTGCTGGCGTTTTCTGTGAACAATTCATTGACATAAATTACATGAGCCGCGTTATGCAGCCATTTCCCAGGTAAACCCAAAGTTTCCCGGAAAGGAATGATGAAAATAGCTTAGATTCAACAAGAGATAATTCCCATTTTAGCACTGTGTGTGCACACATGACACGAGTACAGAAAAACAAGCTAGGGGCCATTTCCCCCTAAACAAATATAGACTATTAAATTACATTCAGGAACTGTAGTCGAGAAACCCTGGTGGTGTGGCGCGCCATGAGTGGGCTGCAGTTTGAAGGCATCAATGGCTTCGCAGGAGGAGGAGGCCGATGGCGTTGAATCTGTTGTGTTGTTGTTGTTGTTGTGTAATGGTAGCACATCCTTTGCCATCAAGTCAATTCCAACTCATGTCTACTCACTGTATGAGAGTAGAATTGCTCAATAGGAACACTAATTAAGCTCCAATAAATGGCCAATTCAGCTAAAAAAGCGCACTCCCCTTTGTGTGTTTGGACCCACCTGGATGATACCCTTCCCCAACATGTAGCCAGATCTCTTTTGAAGCACAAACCAATGCATTGCGCATGTTCCTTGCTCCCCTTATCACAATATGCTTGACCCTATAAGGTTGCTATGCATCAGCATCTACTCCATGGCAGTGAGTTTGGTTTCAGAATGAATTTAGAGTTTTGGGAAGCTTACCATCATCATGGGAATGGTATCATAAGCCCACCTAATTCAAACTATGAAAAGAGCCCTCCACAATTTCCTGGGTGGGAAATTCCTGTCCAGCCAGCAACCACTGGAAGCAGTACTTCTTTGAAGTCCATAACCTCCCTCCCTCCCCTCCCCATGTTCCACTCCATCCCCCTGTGCAAACCAACTAATGTCTCTGAGATTGGCTCTTGGTTAGTCGTTCCATTTCTTGGCACCTATATACAGAGAATCTCTCCCCTTCTTAGGATTTGAGTTAGTTAATTGTGCCAACCTGGCTGATAATCACATGTGGGGCTAATTGAAAGGCAGAGGGATAAATGGGCGGTGAGCCTCGCCTTTCTAGTTCTCGGGTCTCTTGCTTTGTGATGGTTGCACCGGGTGCAGCTGCCTTAGCAGTTCCCTGCTTCAGCTTGCAAGGCTGACTTCCTACAAGACATCCCCAAGGAGAAGCCACATGGACCTATCCCGATGCAGCCCTGGGTGCTGGAGCAGCCGTGTGGAGACCCCTGCTAGTGCTGAGATGCTTATTCGTTCACTGACTCAGCTTTCCTCCTGCAGTCGGCATCATTGCCTCTGTTTTGTGAGGTGGAGGACTTTGTGGATTGGTGTTGGGTTAATGGGTTAATGTTGGACTTGTGGGCTTGAGCAGCATTGGGTTGGGATGTTTTCATGATGCACACTTTCTTTACATAAAACTCTCTTATACATGAGTTGCTGTGGATTTGTTTCTCTAAAGTACCTAGACTAATACAGGATTCAACCTAAACAAGTGAAAATCTTGCTGGATTTAAAATACTCATTTAGGATCTTGAGAAAGTGTAAATACTTCTGAGCTGTTGACCCACTGTTGACACATTTGTTCACAATCATCACTCAGTAGTCACTATGCTACAATATAAGGCGACAAAGACATGATTTTACCATCGAGGAATTTAAATCCAAGAAGGAAAAATAGACGTGAAAATGAAACAGTGACAAACATCGAAGTTGGAGGATTTGTGTATTAATTCAACAAATTGTTTAATGATTGCTTAATATGTGTGTGCTACTCACTGTTTCTTGTACACATGAGCACAGTAATCCTCTCTCAGGGTTCAATATTATTTCATTCTTTTGAAATGTCTGTGGTGAATCTTTGAAAGATGAAGTGCTGTAATTATCAAATTTAGTATAACCACCCTTATTGAATATGTTGACTTGGTATTAAAGGAATACTGGATAGCAGAGAATTAGTCACTAATGAAAGCAACAGGGGAACTTGCTTTAAGGAACCAGGCAATTTTCAAAAGGATTTCAAACAGAATTTTTCTAAATCAAACAAACAAACACAAACCATACAAACCGTAGCTAAGAGCAAGTAGGAAGATTTCAAAAAGGCTAGCCACAAGTAAGATTGTGAGTAGAATATTGCCTCAGAAACATTTCATGTGTCTTTGGTAAAATTTTTATTTTATCTCTCTGGGTCCCTGTCCTGTAGTTTTTACTGGTTAATTCTCCACATCCTATAATCCATATTTTACCTCAGATTAGATTACATCCATTCAAAATTCTGGTTATTGCAATAATTGGAGAAAGTTAAAAGAAGTCATTACATGAATGGTCATGATTTAAATTGTAAGCCCTCCAAGTTGCATTTTCCACATCTTAAGAAGAAGAAGTCATTCCATGTCCTTATGGATTCTTTTATGAAGCGGGAAATATATTATAATACCCTAAATACCCCAAAAGGCTTATTGAAGCATAAATGTCACTTTGAAAGCCAGCAAGATTAATTAATCACCTCATGATTAACCCTAAACATTTTCAATGTTGGTTACATAAGCCTTCATATCTAGTCGAATGTGGTTAACAAGAGCTAAGTAGCTTCCATGAAAGAAAAATCCTGTGCTATCAAATAAAACTGAAATTTGGAAGGCACCACTCACCCGAGACATGAAAGATAGAAGGTCATCTTATGATTTGTCAGGGGAATCCACCAGCAACAAAGATGGCAAAGGGCCCCAGTGTTCTCCTGACCAGAAGAGGGAAGCATGTTCTAGGTGAGACAGCCAGGCTTGGAACTCTTCCTCTTTCCTGTCAATAAACCCTCTGATATGTTGAGTTGCCCAGTGATTACAAGTGTGTGTTTTACTCCAGAAGACCTAAGTTAAAATTCTGCTCCTTCATTTAGTAATTGTGTAATCTTGGATAAGTTGTTGATCTCTTTGTGTCTCTGTTATCGTCTGTGTGAAATGAGAATAATTATAGGCAGTTGAATAACAAGATTTTTCTGAGGCTATCATGAAACAGTCAGTGTAAAGGATATTGTATAAAAGCAATAACTATAAATGTGTAAACAAAGGTTTAGAACTTTTAGTAACGACTAAAGTACTCTTGCCCATTACATTACTAGGTAAGTATTAAGGCATCAATTAACGGATGTAGCAATGCTGATGAGTCGATATCTTTTCATTGGGGGGGAGTCCATTTGACCCAACTTGAGAACTGATCCGTTAATTCCACAACCAGAAAAAACACAAAACAAGCAGGCAAGCAAACAAACAAACCACAGTAATTCTTGGACATGTGCATTCATTCTGGAACCACTGATACGTAGAAAACTTCTGGTCCCTGTGCTGTGCTTTGGACAACCTAAATGACAATGCGCAAGGTTACTCTAGTGTTTAGTCTGCAAGTGGAATGACGAGGGTCAGGACTGAGAACATGAACAGGCCAGCACCAACCACACACTTAACTCCAAATATTGTAACAAAATAACCAGTAGAGAGTGGAGCTAAGAAGGAGCCATAGTTGAGGGACCTGAGGATGTTTACCTGGGTTTCAAGACTCCACTTATACACGGGGGCCTAGAGGGCAAAAAGAAGCTCATGTTCATTTGACTTTAGTTAGACGATTGATCAGACATAAAAGTAAAAATCCTGGGGAGCTTTTCTTCCTGTTCCTTCTCTCCAATTCCTCCAATCTACCAGTTTCATTAAAAAACCTAAATGTGTGCTCAACAAATGTTTTCCTTTTATCCTGATTGAATGAAGGAGCCTTTTATAGAGCTTGTAGGGAAGACTCATGGTGAAGCTCCAGGACAGAGTAGCTCCTGGGTTCACTACAGTTCAGAAATGAATTGAAGGAAGTGAGAGTTTGAGTGAAGACGGGAAGAATCCTATAAAGCAGACAACATCACATGTAATGTGTTAAAAAAAAAAAAAGCGGTGGAAGAAACAAAGACAAAGTACACATAAATCCAGGATGCTTACTTGTGAAAATTTTATTTTTCCAGGTCTGGAAAGTTTTCTGTCTTTGACAGGGTGTAGTATTACCACTATTCTATGGCCCATTTTACTGTTAACTATTTGAGTGTTCCTTCTTTGAAGGAGCGCTGGTGGTATCATGGATGAAGCATTGGTCTACAAAGGCAAGGTTGGAGTTTCAAACCCATTTGCCTCCCAGTGGGAGGAAGATGATGCTCTTTGCTACCACAAAGATTTAAATATCAGAAACCCCAAGGAGCAGCTCTACTGTGTCAGCATCTACTAGGTGGCATTGAGGTTAATTTTTAGTATGTATCTCTTGTGACATATTTCTACCTAACACAGGTTCCTTTTTTCCTGTACATGTATATACTTATAGAGACATATATAGACACACCGCTATAGAGACATATATAAATTACTCATTTAGTAGTATTGTTTCTTTTATTATAACTTGGTGTTGTAAAACAGTCATTAAGATTAAGGAGATTAGTATTAAGGTAGCAGAAGGACATTGGGCCTCCACTCAAGTACTCCCTCAACGTAAGAATACTTTCTCCTATTAAATTGGCATTCTATGATGCTCACCTTCCC